CTACAGAAGCAGGATTGCCCAACGTTCCTTCTGAGGAGTGGCTGGTGGGTTTGAACCACCAGCCTTCTGGTTAGCAGTCAAGTGCCTTAGGCACTATGCTACCAGAGCTCCTAATTTATGTAATGTAAGTAAATAAAATATTTTCATATGTTATTAATAGAATAGGGACAAAGTGAAAAGGAAATTTCAATCAGTTAATTTAGGTAAATAATGTCATGCATTAACATCTTTTCCCAAGAAAGCTCACAAAAAGGTACGGGAAGGCAGGCTTCATGGGTGGAGGGGGAGCATATCTGGGAGGTGGGGAGTATGGGAAAATGTGGAGGAGACTTGGCATCAGGCAAGGGGTTGTGGAAAATGGATAGGAAAAGCAAATGAGGGGAAGAAGTTGAAAAAGAGAATGAGGGAAGGAAAAGGAGAGGGAAGAGGTGAGAGAAAGAACTGTTTTTCACTGGCAATTCAATTAAGAAACTGATAGGTTTCAGAAGCATTCCCAAGGAATATTAAAATATTTTGCCTTTGCATTAGCCAGAGCAGATGCTGATATACTTAGGGAATTAAACATATTTATTCAGATGCTGGGGAGCTCTGGTAGCATAGTGGCTAAGGCACTTGATTGCTAACCAGAAGGCTGACAGTTCAAACCCACCAGCCACTCCTCGGAAGGACGATGGGGCAATCTACTGCCGTAGTGATACTGCCTTGGAAACCCAAGGAGGGGTCGCTATGAGTCGGGTCTGACTTGACAGCACATAACAACAACAACAACAACAACATTCAGATGCTGAGTATGGATATCAGGCTAAATATATATCCAGGTTGAATTCTCAGTACTCAGTTCACCACAGTTGTGGATCTTCTTCTACAGCAAGGGCAGCAGAAGGAAGGAACAGCCCCAGGCCACTCCTCTCTTTGATCTGAATGCTGCTCTTCTGACTGTGTCTCTGCTCCCTCAGGCTTCCTCTTCTTTTTGTGGGACAAAACCCCCTGGAGTTTAGAGCACCTGTGTGCACATCAAGAAGGTGAACACACTTTGTTTTCTGTTCACTGAGAGATCCAAGGTTTGTGTGGCCCTTTGGCCCTTCTTTGGGTCTAAGTGAAAGAGGAGACAGCACACAAAAAAATGGGTGTTTTACCTCACCTGATGCTCCTACAAGGCCACATACCCTGAGAAAGCCACAAAGGAGCTATGTTTGAAGTTACTTAAAAAACTTGACTGTGGATCAGAATCCATGAAGACTTCTTCATGTTTTAATTGGCCAGGGTGAGAGTGCAAGGAACTCTCTTTACATTTTATTTGGTCAGGGAAAAGCAGAAACCTGGCTTAGAGGTGGTCAGAGACAAAGTGGCAAGGAAGGAAGTGATGTGAACTCTTGAGATCTTCCCTTTGAAAAGATGTTTTAGGGGCAACTGGATGAAATGACCCTGTGAATTTTTCCAACAAGAGACCTTTCTCAGAATGGGCATGCTGGCCACAGCCCTGAGCTGAGACCTGCCACAGGCTCAAGGGAGGCACTTTTCCTAGATTGTACATATGGCAAAGCCACCCCCATAAAGATGTAGGCTTCAGGCTGCACATCTATGCGCCTAGGACTCAGCAGCATAGGACTCGGAATGCAATGACCACCACCCAGGTATACCTCCACACGTGGTAGGGAATTCTAGGACCATGTAGCCACTCACCACATGCAGCAATTGAATACTTAAAATATGTTGTTGTTGTTGTTGTTATGTGCCGTCAAGTTGGCCCCGACTCATAGCGACCCCTCCTTGGGTTTCCGAGGCAGTATCATTACGGAAGTAGGATTGCCCAATCTTCCATATAGTGAGTCTAAATGAAGATGTGCTCTTAAAGTGTAAAATACACACCAGATTTCAAAGAATTAATATTAAAAAAGTATAAAATATCTGAACTATCACATTACTAACTTTTCTATTGAAGGAAACAATCAATGAGACAGGTTGGGACAATAGTTGCAACAATGGACTCAAACATACCAACGATCATGAAGATGGGGCAGGACCAGGTAACATTTTGTTTTGTTGTATATGGATCACCATGAATCAGAGGCAACTCAGTGGAAACTAATAACAACAATTTGTATGTTGATCACATGTCAAAATGATAATATTTTGGATATAATGGAATAAATAAAGTTAAAAAATAATTTCACCTGTTGCTTTGTACTTTTTGAATATGACTGCTAGAAAACTTAAAATTACATGTGTGGTTTGCATTTCTGTTGGACAGTGTTCCTCTAAGTTCAAAATACCCTGATTCTAGAGGATACAGATAACTCCTCCCAATCAATAAGAAAAACATACAGAACCCAATTGGCCAGTGAACACTTGGAAGCTTGCTCATCTCAATGGTAAGGAGAGAATGGCAAACTCTAGGTGACTGGAGCCCTCTGGGGACATGGGGCAAAGCTACAAAGCAGGGATCGTCCCTCTAAGAAGAATAGCCAGACCTCAGGAAGGGTAAGCAGGGAGTCCAGATCCAGGAAGGACATGATGGCCTGAGCCACCGAATACTAGGCAGTTACTGATTGTTGCCCCTGCCCAGGCTGAGAGTCACTGAAAATGGCTAAGCAGGTCCTTAAGCCCTGAGCACCAATCACAGGTCCTGAGCTGAGCTTGTGGGTGAGGGCTCAAAGGTCAAGATCTCTGCTGCCCTCTTAGCATGCAGGTGCTGGCTCACCTGTAGTTGTGGGCTAACCTGTGAGTACACAGAGCCACAGCTTCTCCAACTCCCCCTGATCTCCTTCTGCAGCTTCTCTACATTCAGGGTCAGGAAATGACCCTGGCAGATACAGAAGTGCATGCCCATATCCTCCTTGGAAGAAGGACTAGAGGCCTTGCTCTCAGGAATGTGGTCAGCACAGTTTCCAGCCACTACCAACTTCAACGTCTGCCTGGGGCTGCCTTACCTGAGGTCTGACCCTGTGTTCTTGCATCTTAGATATTACAGTACCATCATGTTCAGTATCATTTTAAATGAGGTATGATCTGAAGGAGTAAAATTCAAGAGCAGTAATTTGCACAGGCTATGGGCTTTACAGAAATGAAAGAATCCTGATGTGAGGTATAAAGGGGCCCACAATTTGGATTCCTGTCTGGCAATCAGGCACTAGGAGGAGCTGTTGGGTACAGATGGCAGAGCACACCAGCAAGTATGGAAAACCCAGAAACACTGAAGATATGGTTCTTGCACTCAGGTTATGAAAGTTACCCTCAAGTGCCCTGAGAGCATTGTTTGGGAACTCATGGGTCCACAGGGCCTTCTCTGCTCCCTGAGGTCTGAAGGAAATTGTCTTGAACTCTGGATACTTGACTGGACCCACAATTCAGAGCCTGTGGTATGATGGAATTGCTTCACCCCACCTTCCAAATCTCATGCCATTTCTCTTGCTGCAAACCATAAATGGAAACACACAGGAAAAAGAATTCTGAAAACGTTCATTCCAGCTAAGCTAAATTGGCACACCGCAGACAACCATAGACACTAAATCAGATGATCCCTCTCTACTGGTGTCTCTGGTAAAAAATGCAATGGCCCCCCTTCCTACATAGTAAGATATGGGCTTCCTTCCCAATTCAGGGAGGGAAATACCAGAGTCTGCCATTGGCTTAACTTCGACTGGCTTTGCCCCTGTACTCTCCACTGATGGGCACCCCATCTGGGGCAATGAAGGGCAGGTAATAATAGTAATAACTGCCACAACAAAGCCCATTATTTATCGTGCTGAAGCCCAGAGCGTTAGGTGCTTACATCCGTTAAAGGAAACATTTTAGTGATGCCACAACTACAATGTTACCACTCGAACAATGAAATAAAAATCTGCAAAGGCAGTAAGTCAAAATTACCTATTCCTGGCAAAAGCTGATATGGTAACCAAAGAACAAACCATAACAAATAGGAATACCAATGAATTCAATATAAGAAAAAAGGAGGGGGTGAAAAAAAAAAGCTTTATTTTTGTGTACTAATTTATAACCTTCAATAGCCTTATATGCATGTGAAAGCTGGACAACGAATAAGGAAGACCCCAGAAAAATTGATGTATTTGAATTGTGGTGTTAGCAAATAACATTGAATGTAACATGGACTGTCAGAAGAACCAGCAAATCTGTCTTGGAGAAAGAATAGTGGAATGATCCTTAGAAGCAAGAATGGCTGAACTTAATTTCTCATACTTTGGTCATGTTGTCAGAAGGGACCAATCCCTAGAGAAGGATATCATGCTTGGTAAAGTAGAGGGGTCAGTAAAAAAGAAAAAGCTCTTCAACAAGTTGGATTGACCCAGTGGCTGCAACAATGGGCTCAATCATGACAATGATAGTGAAGATGGTGCGGGACCAAGCAGTGTTTAGTTTTGTTGTGCACAGGGTCACTAAGAGTTAGGACCAACCCAATGGCACCTAGCGACAATTCAGAGCCACCTATAAGATCTATTAAGCAAAAGGAACAAGATGGAGAAGTGTTGGTTTGCTACTATCTTTGGTAAAAGAGGGGAAAGAATGGGTATATTTTGGGTATATTCTATATGTATAGATATGCTTATATATTCCATACTCCCTCTAGAAAGGCACAAATGACACTGGTATCACTGGTGGCCTTTGAGGAGGGGAAGTAGGTCACTATGGGGCAGGAATGAGAGGGAGACTTTCCACTGTATAATAGTTTATATATTTTAGCTTTGATATACAATTATTGTCTACTGAAAAATAAATTGAAACTTAAAAAGAATATTCTTTAAAAACTAACAATACATCATTAAAAAAAAAAACAACATATATTGAGCTCATCACAATCCAAGATATACTGGGAAATGTCTATTTGGTATGAGGCGGTTTATATTGTCATATTATTAAAGAAAAAAAATCACATTAGTTCCTCTCAACCTCAATTCCCAACCTCAAATACACACTTCAGAAAGGAACAAAGGAAAGCTAGAGCTGGATGGTTTCTCAGAGAAAGCCTTGTGGTGGCCCTCAGGCTAAAAGTCATCTAGGCTGAGGCTCCTTGGTCGAGTAAGTTGGTCCAGGGGTCCTTGGCCATGCTTAGCAGCAAAGAGCGAGGTAATGAGATCATCCCCAATTTCCAGAGCCAAGTCATATGCTGTCTGGCCTTTCACGTTCTTCTTTTGGATGCTTGCGTTGCATCTGTGAAGGAAATGGCTATAAGCTGAAAAACTAGAGAACTTAAACCTAAGAGCCTGACTCTTGCCTGCCACAGAGGCCAGTCTGGGCACCTCTCAAGCCCATCTCCCAAACCAGTCCCCAGCAGGCCACCATGACATCAGCTTTCAGGGGTATTTTCACTCTGACATCTTTTGAGGGCTCTGTGATTTCAAAATAATCAATCAACAATCCTTCCCTTTGCATCAGAGTCTATAATTGAGTGTGTTTATCAAGAGCAACATTGTCATTGTGCTTTTAAAAGCCTTTAGTGTCCCATGACCTATGGTAGAATGGTAGCCTACATCACAGGGACTGGTCAGTAAGGCTCACTGTGGCCCTCAAATGTGTTCCCCAAACAGCATGGAACATACCCCAGTAAAGCAGCAATGCACTTCCTTCCTTCCAGGCCAAGCAGAGTTGCTTCATGAAGAGCTGTATTTCTGAGCCTGTTTAGGGGAGAGAAAAATCATTCTTGGCAAATCCTTGGTTAGCATCCCCAGAAAATTGGAGAGGGAGCACGGAATCAAAAGAGCTTTGGTTTCACCTATTGATCTACCTAACCAACCTTGGAAAAATCTCTTCAGTCTCCCTTCTCTGCCCCTTTCCTTAAAGAAATACAGTGATGGTGGTTAAACTTTGAGGCTAGATAGCAAGTAAAAAAAAATCTATAAACACATTAATTTTTTAATGTGAGAAACCATACAAGGATCTGATCTATAGTTGATTAATAAATGCTATAAAGACTATTTTAGTAAATTTCCTAGAATATGTGATATAACATTTTGGACCCAATCTCAACTTTGACTTGGATTTCTCTTGAGCATTGTCTACATGATAATAACTTTCAGGGGCTAAAAAAGCTTTTATTCTTGTATAGGGAAAATGACCTTGGTTTGAGTGAGTTTGATTTGTATGATGTAAAAATAAACTTCAATCTCAGAACCCAGAGGGCATACATATTGATGTATATGAGGTCATCTCTCCACCTTACATGGCCAAGTTGGAGCTAGTGAGTGAGGAGTGGATGGCTGAAATGGAGGGTGGGGTGATATCTGCATACGAGAACTCTTCGATGGCATCTAATTCCGAGGTGGCAGAAGTAATGGAAGGTGAGATTCATAACTGGAAATGAGATGAGCAATAGAATTTCTGCATTTTCCATATCCCAGCCCCTTCCACTGATACCACTATCACCCCTACCCTCATACCTGCAGATATACCTGTAGCCATAAATTTACCATAAGGGAGGAAATGTATGGTGGCCTCTTCTCTGAAGAAGATAAATAGACCCTCTTGTGAGAACCAAGTCAGCAATTCCCATATCCAGAAGGAAACCTTCCACTTTCTGGCACCCAAGAGTACCAGCCTGGGACAGCTCTATCTACCTGCAATGGCCCACAGTGGGTAAGTTCCAATCAGGCACACAGTTCCATCTCATTGTCAAATATGGATGGATGGATGAACAACAAAGGATTATATACATTTTAGAAAAACCTCCACCATCAAAGCAAAAAGTGAAGATACACAAACATAAATTTTATACAAAACAAAAACCTAATTGGTTTTTTCAGAATGATTCAAGGAAATATTGCATGTACAATATTTCCTTGAGGTTACGAATAAGAAACAATCAGAACAAAAGGTAGCTCTTGGAAAGCTGATATGATTGTTGAAATAAAAATTAAATAGATGGGATGGACAAACAGTTGAGGAAATCTCTTAAAACAGAAAATGAGAGATGGAAAATATGAAAAAAGAAAAAGACAGACATGGGAGATCAATTCAGGAGGTCTACCATTCAACTAATAGGAGTTCCAGAAAGACAGAATAGAAAAACTGAAGGGAACAAAATGCCAAAAGGATAAAAGATGAAAATTTCCTTAAGCTGAAGACTTTTCAGACTGAAAGGGCCAACTATATGAATGAAAACACCATGTTGAAAAACACCCTTATGAGACTTTAGAGCATAAACACTTCCAGAAAGAACAAACAAATAAAAAGTCACAAAGAAACAAGCATTTAGCAGAGAATTCTCATCAGCTATGTTATGACTAGCCATATGTCAGTCTGTCTGTCATACTATGGTGTTTGTGTGCTGCTGTGATGCTACAAGCGATATAACAAGTATTTCAAATACTGGCAGGGTCACCCACCGTGGACAGGTTTCAGTAGCGTTTTTAGACTAAGACAGACAAGAAAGAAAGGCATGGTGATCTACTTCTGAAAATCAGCCAGTTTAGATGTCCATCAACTGAGGAATGGATAACCAAACTATGGTACATACACACATTGGAATACTATGCAACACTAAAGAATAATGTAGAATCTGCAAAACACCACATAACGTGGATGAACTTGGAGGACATTATGCTGAGTGAAATAAGTCAATTACAAAAGGACAAATATTGTATTAGTCCGTTATTGTAAAAGTCAAGGAAATGTTTATCTATGGAAGGAAATTTTCTTTGTGGGTTATCGGGGGTTGGGGGGGAACACTGTTAGATAGAGATAAGTATTGATCTGGGTGAAGAGAAGGGCAATGTACCAAATGTGAGTGACCAATATAGTGGCATTGAGGAAGAGAAAGACATAGAGAGGTACGTGGGAGGTACAGACAACAAAGATGAACCCTTTTGCACATATAGTACGGCGTTGTCAGTGAAGGCAAACATGGGTATACAGGTGGACAGATGGGTGGACAGGCTGAACTATTAGGTATGTCTATGAAGCGGGGAGTGTACCCAAGAACATGTATAGGGTTGGCAGACAATGGTCCTATAAGTTTATGTGTATGATCTGAATTCCCAGGTGTATAGTAGAGCTGACAAGGAACAAGGTTGTGGTCACTGCTTGGTCACAGCCAGCTACCCAGAGGGACTGAGTAGTTGAACCTATGTGCTAGGGGCCATAGTTGCAGAGGACATCAAGCTCAATTGGCATAACATACTACACAAAACATTGTTCCACCTCCTACTTTGGTGAGTAGCAACTGGGATCTTAAAAGCTTGCAAGCTGCCATCTAGATGTAACGATGGGTCTCTCCTCATCCAGAACAAAGAAGAATGAAGAAAACCAAAATTCATGGAAACAATTACCCCTAGAGACTGGTACACCATCCGATCTGCAGCCTATATACTACTATGAGACCAGAAGAACAAGTAGATGGTGCCCGGCTACTACTGTCAACCACTTGGAAGGCGATCTATGTAGGAGATCCTTGATAGAGAGGGAGAACAATGTGGAACAAAACTCAAAATCATTTGGAGAAAAAAAAAGGGGGGGACCAGGTTTGCTGGTCCGATAGAGCCTGGTGGAACCACTGAGACTATGGTCCCTAGCTGCCCTTCAGGTCTGAAATTGAACCCATGCCTGTGGCTTCCAGCCAAACAAAAGATAGACATATGAGTTGAACATTTATCTGAGGTAGACACACTCCTTGGAGAGAATAATCATGGGAGAAAGAAGGGCTGTTTATACACAGGGAGACAGCTCAGGGGGCAGGAGTGCATGGGGGGATGGACACAGGGAAGAGGTAACTATCAGGAGGAAGTAGGAGGGGAGATGTTGCCTTGTGGAAAACTGTGGTCAATGTCACGAGACAAAGTATATGTGAACTGCTGTATGGAAAGTGGATTTGCTCTGTAAATTTTCACCCAAATCACAATAAAAAAAAGGAAATCAGCCAATGAAACCCTATGGATTTAGTCTCACTTGCTTTGGACATGTCATCAGGAGAGATCAATGAATAGAGGAGAAGGACACTGTATTTGGAGAAGTAGAAGGCATGAGAATTGCTCAGTGAGATGAATTGGCAAAATAGCTGCAACAATGAATTCAAATGTGTTCATGATTATGAGGATGATGCAAGACTGTGCAACATTTCACTCTCTTGTACAAAAAGTCACCAGGAGTCAGAGTTGACTCAATGGTTAACAACACTGTTGTTGCTGTTACGTGCCATGGAGTGGAACCTGACTCATAGTGACCCCTCCTTGGGTTGCCGAGGCAGTATCATTACGGAAGTAGATTGCCCAACCTTCCTTCTGAGGAGTGGTTAACAACATAATGGATGCTAAAAATCAATAGAAGACTTTCTAAGACTTGAGGGGAAATTATTTTGAACACAGAAATTTTTGTTAACATATTAATATAAAGACTAAAGAATGTCATTTTTAGACATCCAAGTTTATTTCTACTCACTCTTTCTGAAGAAGTTATGTGAAGCTACACTCTAGCATGACAAGGGTCAATGCCAAGGAAAAAGAAAATATAAACAACAAACACAGATAGATCCCAATGAGGGACAGGAGGAAACCATGATGACCACTGTGCACTGCAGCAGGCCTGGTAACCAGCAGGCCAAAACAAAATAGGAAGTGTATTCCAAGAAGAATGTCTGTAAGAAAAATAGCACTGAAAATGTAAGAAACCAGATGGGGTTAGAGATACGGGGATGCATGTCCTTTCTCCAACCACATAAAACAAAGGCAATCTGAAATTCCAGAAAAATAAAATACACAAAAACTGGACAAGTTATTCATAGTTCATGAAACAAAATGAAACATGACATGATTTTTAATAATTTACAAAGGGTAAAGGAATCCATTTGATATTTCTGCTAAGAAAATTCTACTTTGAATGGCTTATGGGTCATAATCTTAGACGCACAAACAATAAAATGTATTCACAGCATACCACTTAGTTCTGTAATAAACAATATTTATGTAGCTATTGTAATTAAATTGCTCTTTGTTGGTTTTTAACTTTTGGACAAAGAATGGAAGTCTCCATTATGTTAGCAAAAATGACTGTAAATGTGATTATCCTTGTATGCTAACAGAAGTTTTGAGGTAGTAGAGGTGAAGGTCGGGAGCATTAATATACGTGCAATCAAGATATACTGTTGAAAACTGATAGTCAAAAATAGGAATTTAAATATATTATTTATAGTTATAAAAGTAATGAATAAATTTTGGTAAACTGTGGTCAATGACATGAGACAAAGTATATGTGAACTGCTGTATGGAAAGTGAATTTGCTCTGTAAATCTTCACCCAAATAAAAATAAAAAAATTAAAAAAAAAAAAAAAGTAATAAATAAAGGAACCCAAAACAATAAGCATCAAAATGAAAATGTAGTGGGGTCAGTGAGCCAAATCATCACTGTTCATGTCTAAGGCTGCTAAATAGGGAATGATCACTTTAAGTGTATTATTAAGTAACAGAGACATAGGTGACTTCCAGAAGAACTTAAAAAAAAAAAAAAAAAGTAGTTGTCCCAGCGAACAAGAACTGGGGTGAAGAAGTGATGACACAGAAGGATTGTTTTTCATCTTCAGCTCTTCCATAGAATTTGAGCTTTTAAAAATTATGTGTAATATTTTACTTTGATAAAATTAAATTTTTAACTAAAAATTAAACCTTTCTTCCAGACTAATGATAAATA